ACACTTGGGAGAGCACTCTTCAATGCCCTTCCACTTCTTCCAACAACACATGGAATCAAGTGCAACGGTAAAGTAATTGTTGAAGTATGTTAATGATCCCCTTATCTTAACTTTCAAAAATGAAGCTAAAAATTTATCTTCCCATGGTCCTCTTTAGATTTATATGCTTTCATTATTGGAAGCTATGTCATTTGGACTGCCTTGGCTGGAGTGAGGTATTGTGTCGAGCATATTAGGAGAAGAAGTACTAGAGTTTTGCTCAGTCAGATTTGGAAGTGGTTTGGCATTATTGTCAAGAGTTCTGTGCTGTTGTCAATATGGGTAAGAACGAGTAAATTCTGGTTATGGCTAAATAATATCACAAGGAATTTTGTCCTGTAAACTCTTGTTTTATTTTGTGGTCTCAGATATTTGTCATTCCCATGTTAATTGGACTGCTGTTTGAACTTCTGGTAATCGTTCCTATGCGGGTTCCTGTGGATGAGAGTCCAGTATTTCTACTGTATCAGGATTGGGCTCTGGGATTGGTCTTCCTGAAGATTTGGACTAGACTGGTGAGAACTGATGTATTTTGTCACCTTTGTACCGTTTCTTTCTTTCTTGGGATAGCATTAGCTTCAGTTTTTTGCTGAACTAACCTGTGTACCATAATGTTTGATTATTTGGCTGGACACTTGATTAGCTCTGTGTTTGTGTTAATCAGGTCATGCTCGACCATATGATGCCGCTGATGGACGACAGCTGGCGTGAAAAATTTGAAAGGGTGAGAGAAAACGGTTTCTCTAGACTTCAAGGTCTTTGGGTGCTGCGGGAGATCGTGTTTCCCATTATCATGAAGCTGCTTACTGCTTTATGCGTACCATATGTTTTAGCCAGAGGCGTGTTCCCAGTATTTGGTTACCCGTTAGTCGTGAACTCAGCCGTGTATCGATTTGCGTGGTTGGGATGCCTAGGCTTCAGCTTGCTGTGCTTCTGTGCCAAGCGGTTTCATGTATGGTTCACCAACCTCCACAATTCCATTCGTGATGACCGGTACTTGATTGGTCGTCGACTCCATAATTATGGGGAGAATTCAGAAAGGCGAGATGATTCTGGCACTCAAAGTTCTAATGAAAGTGGCACCGTTGATGTTCAAAATAATTGGGAAGCTGCAAATGTAGGGATGAGACATAGGCACGCTATTCGCTAAGGGGTAACTAAAAATTGTCATGTTTGCTGGTTTTAAGCTCTCGTGGCCTCTGAATGTATAGCTGGTTTAACAGCTTATAATACCCCCATGTGAAAGAGGGCGTTTTCTACCTTTTTTTGGTTGGGGGGGGGGGGGGGGGGGGGG